AATAAGTCAGTTGCAAGGTTGTTGGAAGGTTGTCATTTATGATCAGCAAAGATAAATTTTATTAACTGCTATTCTTGGTTGCCCAGAGGATATTGGCTTACAAAGCAAGGTTTAAACCTAAGTGACCTTGTTTTCTCCTTTGAAATAACAGGTAGGGTTGAAATCGTCACCACTTAGTTTGTATTTCTGAATGGTAGCTGGAACAGAAAATTCTTATCTGGGGCAAGATATTTTTGTTTTTGATAGAGGAACACAGAGCTATTTTATAAAACAAGTGTTTGATTTATTTTTGTGTACCTCTAAAAGTAAAGCACAGACCAATGAATGTGATAATAATAATAATATGAACCTCCACTTATTGAGAGCCTTCTATGTCAAGATTATCAATAACTTATCACAACTTATAAGACAGGTTTTATTATTATGCCATTTTGAAGATGAGACATTTGGGCTCAAGAATGCAGCAAAACTGGTTAGGATCATACTCTCATAAGGGGCAGTGCTTGATCTATAGGACCCTAAAGCCTTTTTACCACCTTGCCTACACTTTGAAAGTAATAAAGCAGATTTCAATTCAGGATAAGAAACTTTAAAATTATATTAAGCTCTTTTAAATTTAAAGTGAAAATAGACTAGGCCACCTTGGTGAGTAGTGAGTTCCCCTCATGGAGTAAACCATATAGGGCCAAGAGTGCTAAAAGAAGGGCATTGAAGTCCAGCTATTAGGATCCTTTGAACACTGTGATTAAACAATTGTCTCAGTGCCTCCTTATTGCCTTACTGCCTCTCATCAATAAAAAAGGAAAATGCTAATCACAATAGAAAAGTTGTTAAATTACAAAATGGCATATCATTAATAACCGGTAAATATTTGTATTCATTTTTTTCAAGCAAGTGCAATGAATTGTTACCTAAAGTCTTCAATTAAAATTAAAATGAGTTTACATTTTACCCTCATTATACTTTCAAACTGTAAGTAATTATCAACCAAGCCAAAATTCACCACTTGTGGGGCAAGGACAAAATTAAGAATAAGTAAGGAGTTGGTGATCCATAGGTTAGATTCTGATGGTGAAGAAAAACCACTCAATCTGATCATTATTATCTCAGGATTTAAACAGTAACTGTAATTGTATTCTTGGAACACCAAGTTCCCACCCCACCCCCACCCCTACACCGTAGTTAATTAGCTGGGCAGGTCTTATAACAAATACCCACTCAGAAACACTGGGTGGTAGAAATGCTGTTGATAATTAAACACCACAATAGCATGGGGCCTATTTCAGGAGCCGCTGAGTGGTCCTGCCCTGGCTGGACTGCTCACCACACACTCACAGACCCTCCATTGTGCTGGCTGTGAGGGCTCCGAGGGATAGCTGCTTGGCTGGAGAAGGAACCGACTGCAGTAAGAGACAGAAGACCAAATGCTGCAAACAGAACAGGAGTTCCGGACTCAGGAGAAAAATATACAGAGTGGGGAAGTGAAAAGGTAATGGATCCAGAAGAGAAGTGGATGGGCAGGAGAATCAATCATAAAATAAACAGTCTTTCTAGTTTCTATGTCCAACCAACCAACCAACCAACCAAAATGAGTTCACCAATCTCAGGTCAAATAGATAATAGTTAGGAAACTGCCAACCGTGATAACAGGGTGATTTGCATTCCATTTGGTTTAGAGGAAGTTCCATGGGTTCTTTAAGGTTTTGTTCCACCTCCGTGAAACTTAAAGATGTCTTCATCTTTAAAATGAAAGTGAGTGTTGAAAAGGTTCTCATTCTAAAGTGGCAAAAAATAGGAATGGTGCTCTCAGAACAATTTGAAAGGTGTCAAAAAGCCTAAACTATCCCACCATTACTCAAGATAAAACTACTAGTCTAATATAAGTACTGTATTTACCTGCTTCTGCTTAAAATATACTAACCCAGTTTGTTAGGTTGGTTATCTCATACTGAACAGATGCTTCCACTGGCAGTTATATGGGTCGTTAATAACAAGGAGAAAATGTTTACTTTATAAGTCAGCTGATTTGGTAGTCAATAAAGAAAATCTTTCAAAAGAGAATTTTATTAGGCTATTTAAAAAATCCATAGAAAAAGAAATAGTGAAACGTTTGCTGGGTGAAATGGTTGGAAATTCACTCAGTTTCTAAATGCAGAGACTCAGTCAGTGCCTCTCCAACTTGTCCACAGAATCATCTCTAACAACAGAGGCAAGTGAGTATATTCCTGGGGGCATCTGGGGACTTAGCCTGAAAATAAAGGAAGAGATTTCCATAAAATTTCTCTTTTTTTAAGTCCTCACTTTGGGAGGAAGTTTTCCATTCTCTCCCCAGGATAAAAATGTTCATTTTAATTTCTAAATAATGAGCTTTTACCAAAATGTGCACAGAAAAAATTATGCACCAGGAAGACACAGATAATAATTCTACGGCTTCAGAGATGCCCACTACACTCCACCAAGACCAACACTGTATTCTGTTGTTGTTTAGGTGTCCCAGCTTGGGGAGCACAGGGACCTAGATGATCCTGAAAAATTCACCTGGCTAAAAAATTGTATGGATCTTTCCTATTAGTCTGTAAAGAGGCAAAATGATTTATCTTGAAGATGCAGAATCCCTTTACCACTGCAACTAAAACCATATGAAGTTTATAGCCTAGGAAGAAAGGGAAAGTCTAGAAACAAAATGTGTTGTGCTACGGAGAGCAGAAAAAATTTCAAGGGGTAGCCACGCATAGCTCAAGAGAAGCTGTCCATCTGAAATGCCACCTGGAATTCACACCAGTAATAACTGTTGTGGGTATAAAAATTAATAGGAGGGATTTCATAGCATTAGAAAAATTTATTTTTATAAATCATGTGTCTATCACCCAAGTGTTGATGCATGCATGCAATTCAAACATCAGGCTTACAATAAAAAGCTCACTGAATGACTTAGCAAGGACAATTCCCCCATTTTCTCTATAATTTGGAGTGGAGGAAGGAGGGGGTAGTGAGTAGAGGGTGCAGTTACTGGGTCAATTAATCAACCTGAAAACTGTGACACAAACTCTGACGCCTAACCTATGTCTAAAAATACACAAATGTATACGAATTTGTTTTAAACTGTCAATGCCTATATTTAGGACCTTCCCAGCAAGGCTATAATGAGACTGTGTTTGAGGGCTTCAGTCATAGCAGACTGTACCATTAATCTGAAGTTAGTTAAATTAACAGCATTTAGTACTGACTTGTCAATCTCACTGCTCCAGGAAATTGCACCTTGAGGCTACTAATATTGCCAATTTTTCCACTGGTGTATGCACCCGCGTGTGTGTATGTGTATTTTTTTCCTCCCGAACCTCCGTGTTCATACACCCACCATTGCTTCCCTACATCCACAGCACTTATATTATCATTTATTCTGGCCTCCTTTAGCCTTCCCCAGGGATTCTGCATAGTGTAGCTGCTCAGTGAAAGAGTTTTTTAGCCTTATATTTATTTGTTTATTTTTCTGTCATGGCTCATGACTGAGGCTTTAAAAAAAAAGTGTGACAGTATTTAGAGTCCATGATTGACTGCTCCAGCAACATTCATGAACCATGACAAATCTGCAGCAAACACAGTCCTGAGTGTTCTAAACAGCAGCTTTCAAAAGAAAGAAGAAAGAAAAAGAAAAAAGACTCAACTAATTTTTCATTGACCTCACCTGTAAATAAATTTAGACTGATGGTGAGCAGGGGCAATAATAAATTAGTATTCATTTCCTGTAATTAATGCAAACATGCCCATGCACATAGAGAATCTGAATATATAACCACCTAATTTCCATTTCAAAATACACCTAACAAATTTTCACTTGAGTTATCTTCATAGTACTTTCCCCCTTAATTAGAAGAATTAAATGGTTGGATTTCTTTCCCACTCACCAGGGGGAAGTATTGTTTTGGTCACAGAGAGTGTCAAACACATGTTGGCGACAGACCTGCAGAACTGTATTCTCATCTGTTTCATTATTTGTGTGATACCCTACCACATGGCCATGTGAGGCTGCCTTCTCCTCTTTTATCACTAGTCAGAAAGCACTCCTCCAAAGTGACTCAGTGACTGCCTAGGCAGTCCCTCACATGCATGAGATCCATGAGAAAAACACAAACAGCAGCCTCCCAACCTGACTCACAGATGTGAAATGTTCTATCACAAGTATATTCACTTATACAGGGCAGGTTGGGTAAACAATATGATGTGAATCAAATAAAGACTATCACATATTGAGTAAAACAGAAATAACAAAGTGTCTAGCCCTTGCTCTCTTGGGCATGGGCATCTGGAGAGACCATCCCTACAATCAGACTGCAATCAAACATCCAATCGATGGAAGATCCATGACTGATCACAGCCAAGTCATCCAGCCATCAGAACTCGCTAGTTCTACTGTGGCAGTGATAGTGAAACACTTGGCTAGCAATAAATAAATTGATTAATAATAACAGAATCACACCACTAAGGCATACATACAAAAATGTCTATGAGCTGGGCAGAATGTGGTAAGAGCAGAAAATCTGAATGAGGTTCTACCAAAGGGGGAAGAAAAAAAAGACCAAACAACTTGGGCAGAATACCTTGTGGATGACTTTTCTTAGGGTCTTCCTAGTCCTCCAGAGCCTTTGTCCTAAGTGTTTATCCCTCTAAAGACCATGCAAACAAATGTACACAAGTTGAATTAGAAGTGGCCCTCACAGGTACTTGATAACAGAATTCTAATTAACTGTGCTAAGCAGCTATTTGTGGTACATGTGACAAGAGGACCAGAGGGCAATTGCAGTATCTTAAATTGATAGATTTACCACTTAATCTAGTTATAAATGCCACTAATTAGGCCTTATTATAGTAAGATAGTTTAATAAAGAACATAGGATACCACTTTTCCCAGACATTTTTTTTTAATGTATAGTAGACCCTTAGATATCCTATCAATGAAGCAGCATGCCACAGAAAGAGTCACCCCATTTCTTTCCCTTCAGTTGTCAGCCTGGAAAGCAGAGCAATGCACCTCGACACATTGGTGCAGGAAGCCCAGGAGAGGGTGAGTGAATTGTCTGCTCAGGTGGAGAATGAAGGATTCAGTCTGGACAACACAGAGAAAGAGAAACAGCTGAAAGCTTGGGAGTGGAGGTATCGGCTCTACAGACGCATGAAAACAGGCTTTGAACATGCCAGTGAGTATTAGCAGAGGACTTCTACATTTAACTAGAAGCCAGGTTGGTTTAAGACAACCATGCCTTCTTTTACTGATTTTCTGCAACTCTACAGGGTCATGGATGGCCGTTGTCAGCCTATTTGGAGCAAGGGCCCTGGGAGGCTGTAAAAGGATCCTTTGTTTTGCTTGATTTTCTGGCTCCTGATAGGTTCTCATGGCCACAGCCATGAGGCCTCAGTGCTGCTGGCCTCCCTCCACCATGTCACACTCATCTAGCACTTTCTACCCCCCTACGCCCTAATGCCTAATAACCTGGATGGTCTGATGCCCTAAGTGGCTATATTTGGGGATGTGGAAGTAGAAAAATATTTGTTCACCTATTTGTCCAGTTTCTGCTTAAGCCCAGGTTTAAGCTGTTTTCAACTCTCTACTGCATTTTTAATATAGATCTTATATAAACTGACCTTCAGTCAATACAGGCGACAGAGAAAGATAGTCAGTCATCCCCTGAATTACACTTTTCTCTGCACTTCATTCTCTTTACCAATTCATTTTGTTGGTTTAAGAAAGCCTCGTTCCTGGTTAATGCCCATTAGCACTGGAAGGTACTGCTAAGTGCAGCCCCAATATAAAAATTACATACATTTAAACACTCATGAAATATTAAAATCTTCCTCCAAAATGCCTTATTTAAACAACAGCAAAAAAATTAGACATGAAAATTTAAATGTAAGGGAAAGAGGAATTCATTAGTTTGGAAATTATCTGCTTCTGCTTTGTGATACAAAGACCAAAGGCAGTGAAAATCTTGTGATATATTGTGAAAATTCTGTGATTATAGACCAATACTAAAGGCAGTGAAAATCTTGTTTTCTGAAGTAGTACTATATACGAAGTGCCAAATCTAGGCCTAATCCTCTCTTGAAGCAAGTAGTTTAAGCAACATGAATGAAAGATTACTTTCAGTGTTAATCTTTTCAGCAATGCTGACAATGTGGTTTGTTTTTGTTTTTAAGACATTCAGAAGTTTTAACATTTTCTATTATACCTCATTTAGGACAGATTAATATTAGAGGCAGATATATTTTTAGACTTGATGCCATTTTTCAGTAATTTTCTAAATTACAGAACATCTTTTGGGTGTTAAGGAATACCTAAGGCCATAAGGAGTCCTTCAGAACCTGAGGTTAGTGGACACATTTGCTCATGAACTCCTTCTCAGAAAATTCTACTTGATATACTAGGAGGCAGTGTGAGAGCAAGACAAGTTATCATTCCATCCTGGAAAGAGCCCAGAATTAGGCATGTGCCACCATGGGCCTTCATCCTAGCTTTGATATGCCCTTAAACAAGTAATTCTGCCTCCTTAGATTGCAGTGTCCTCATCCTTAAAGTAGGGATGCTGTTACTTGGCCTTTCTATCCAACAGGGTTGCAAAAAAGCTCCAATAAAATGCTTTACATGAAAATACTTTATGAAATGTAATAGTCCCTATCTACAACTGTTGGTTCCTGCTAACACTTTCTGGCCTCTTCTCCCCTGGTCCAGCCCAATCTCCTATTGTGTTTCCAGGAGACTTTGGGAAAGCTTAACTGGCATTATTTACCCCTTCAGAAGATGTTCTAGTGCTCAAATAAGACCATGATGGCAACAAATAAAGGCCATTGAGAGTTCTAATGAAAATGTTCAAAAGCAAAAGCTATTAGGCTCTACAAACAAATGTTTCCATAGTGTGTGTTTCAGGGTATCCTTTGAAGAGGCAGGAACATTGTTTGAAAAGGATTTGCTATGTTAAGATCCTTGTGTTTTTCCTTCTGTCCCAGGAGCCCCCGAGGTGGCAACCAATGCCTGTCTCATGGTAACCAGCAGTACATCACTCACTGTCAGCTTTCAAGAGCCTCTTAGTGTCAACGCAGCTGTAGTAACCAGATATAAAGGTACTGGACTCCAGATATTTTGTCATTGCTGGTTCTTAAAAAACAACCCGTTGTTTGAAGATCAACTGTGCATTCTGTATCAGTTCTTTCTGATAGGATATTTTTTATCCCATTTACTTCTGGAGTTGAAATATTTCCACAGGCATTCATGTCATAAAGCACCATAAGGTAAATGAGAACAAGTTATAGAAAGGATGACCCGCAAGACCAGGCTGTCATTCCAGGCCCCTCTATTAATGTTAATATTCCATCCCTGTTTGTAGGGGGCCTTCTCTGTGCATAGCAGAGGGTGAGGGTCAGCACTCCATAGGACACAGTGAAGAATCAGCCTCGATCCAAGGAGCTTAGAGGCTGGGATATGGAATATACTATATAGGGAGCATATAAATTGATAGCTATAATAGCAGGTAACTAGGGTTGAAGGTTAAAAAAAAAGATCAAGTGCATTGGAGGTCAGGAAAAAAAAAGAGGGATGGTAAAATGATATGATCAGAAAGGCCCCAGGGTAGAGGTGGCATTTGGTCCTGGCTTTCAAGGATGGCTAGGATTTGACCCAGAAGACACTGGGGCTGGGGAGGTAAACTCCAAGTGGAGAGAACAAGTAGATACTGGTGTAAAAGCAAGAACATGCTAGAACTAGTAGAGGAGAATAAGAGATCGAGTAGTGAGTGGCTCCAGCAGAGGGGAGGGTTCATGAGAAGGTACAGTGAAATGTAAGATTAGGGAGTGAATCTAGGGTCAGGAGGTAGGGGCAGAATGAGGCTTCAAATCAAGCTTAAGTTTAGACTTTATTTGATGAACCCTGAAGACTTCTGAATAAGATGAGGACAAGATCAGAGGTAGACTTTCTCTGCCCACACCCTATACCTTTCTGAGATTTAAGTGGCAATACTGTGTATGATGTATTTAAAAAGATACTGATTTAGAATAAGGAAATGACTTAGGAAGCTCTTCAGGAGAGAGCTCACGACAGCCTTATCTGACCTGCCATAGCAGCTCCAGGAAAGGAGAGCGAGCCCAGAGAAGAAAGCTGTTACGGAGATGCTGTGATGATTCAGTCAGGGCTCACATAGTGCCAGCTATGTGCCAGGCACTGTTTAAAGCCTTTATATTAATAACTCTGTTAACCTTTACAACAACCCTATGAGGTAGGTACTGTTATGATTCCCCTTTGCAGATGAGATAACTTAGGCAGTGAGGTTAAGGAATTTGCCTAAAGATTCACAGCAAAGCCAGAAGTAGTATCACATTGTTAACTCTTCAATTTGATGAACAAAAGAGAAAGAAATTCATTTTCCTTATTCACAGGAATGTACAGAAATACCCTGAACAGCCCTAAAACCTGATAAAGTTCTCCAAGCATACTGTAAGATGCCAGGCCACAAGCCAGTTCTCCATTCAGCTCACTACACTACTCCCTCAGTCCATAAAAATGGCCAAGTATTGTATGTGGTTCCTTTTTCCCTCCCAGGGCCTTTCCACAGAGAGCCTCCTAGGTCTGCAAACATTACTCTGCCCACACCCTATACCTTTCTGAGGTACCTGGAACGTCCCAGATAACTCTGCTCTGTTTGCATTACCTTAGGTGAGACAGCATTGAATTGGTTATCACTTTGGGTTTTCTGTATCAGTCTAAGAAAATACAGGCTAAGGGTTCTAGTGACGACAGATAAATGAAGCCACCCACAGTGGAATGGCCTCCCCACAGCCTTCTGATCCTATTCTGATACCATCTCTTGGTTCTCATCTGCTAAGACTTTCTGAAATTCAGAGCAAGTGTTTGCCACAGTGTCAGCCATAGGCATTTTCCTCTTTCTGCCTCCCTCCAGCTCAGGGTTTTGATGAAGCACTTCATCAGTACTGCCCAACTTGACATTTCCTTCTTATCTATGACTAGTGAGCTATCAGGAGCTAGTTTATCCAGACTGTCAGCTATTTAATACTTGACCATAATGCCAGTAAATCCTATCAGCATTCACATATTAACACATCTCATCTCAGGGAGACTTGCAGTTAGTTGGGGTTGAAATGAAAGCCACAAGTGGGTTCTATTAGTGACTGGAGGGGATTAATTAAGAATTATAAACAGAATTGTCTGTTGCATTATGGAGTAGGCTTCCTTGTGTTAGTTTATAAGGTCATAAATTGAGTCCTTAACCTAACCACTCTCAAGGATTATTTAAAACAGCTGGCAGCCTACTGTACCTAGAGACAGCATGACAGTGTTTAATTCAAGGCTGAAGTAATTATTTAATTAAGGAAATATTAGCAAAATTTACCTAAGACAAGACTAATTATTTTGTTTGCTTTAAAATTATTTTGTTTGTAAAAACAATTTCACAATCCACAGAATGAAATGACAGTTATTTAATTGACTAGAGGTAAGGCTCAACCCTACAGTATTTAGGGTTTGGAAAACATCTTATGCTGCTCTCCAGAATTTCTGTGTTCAGAAATAACCTCAAGTCTACTCTGACAACTGGGAATTTTCCCCCTTTGTACTTAAGCCAATGTTTGAAAGAAAATCTAAATCATTCCATTTCTCATTTGTTTAAACTCAACTCATCAACATGTTGGTCTTTTTTAAGAGTTGTTGATATCCAGAAATCTTTTGTAGAGCATCTGTTCATAATCCTTCCTCAGGCCCTGGGACCATGCACCAGACCAATACCCAGAGATCAAAGATGTCAATTTCAGCTAAAAACCCAGGAAACAGTTTTGAGTGAAAACCATTGGACTTTTCTGCCTGCATCTCCAGCAGGAAAATGGGGCTAAAAGAGCTATTGTCTATTTCTAGGTATTTCTTCCTTCGATAAGAAGAATGCTTCTTCTTTTGGTCCCATCTCAGCCATTTTGATGGCTTACGGAGCAAAACTAGAGTTATTGCCAATGCTTTGATGTTCTGGACAATCGCTACAACTTCATTCCACATTCTCCTCCTCACTGGCTTGGGTAGCCTGTCTGAAACTCCCATTTGCAGATGACATGTCACTTTTCTGCAGTTCCAAAGCAGAAACCAGAAAAGTTTCATAAGTGATTGCATTGCTCTTTGCAGGGTTGGGGGGTGGATAGGAAAATATCCTGTAACAGGTGCAGTACAGCGTCTGTTTTCCATCCACAGGATGAATTACTCTCTAGTTTTTTTTTAAAAAAGCAGCCACACCTTGGGGTTTGCCAATTACAAAATGCTGTTATTCCCATGAGTGTGAGCAACACCCCAGTTTGGATGGTGGCCCTCTCCACCTTGCTCTCTAACAGATTAGAAACTGCCATCCTAATTCCTCCCTAGAAAGGTTTGTAATAGCAAATTATTTAATTATTCCTCATTTGATGGCATTTAAAAAACAAAAACAAAAAAAGCACTTCTCCTTGTAGAGATGTCAAGACCTTCCAGGAGCTGGTAGTGTATCTGCTTCTATACAGAGCAGAGCAGTGCTCCTGCCAGCCTGCACCTCCAGTTTCTTTCTCAGAAGGAGAGGAAGCCAAAGAGTTCCAGTTAGATACCTAGGGGCACCGCAGCTTCTAGGAGAAAGAGTCCACCATTCGCACGTTAAAACCGTCAGGGTTGATCATTTATGATTATAGTGTGAACTTGATCATGACTTAATTGCTTGAGCCATCTTTTCACAAGATTTAAGAAAAACTGACTTCATGGGTCTTGGATGCATAGTGCTTAGTAATTTATATTATTTTTACCCCCTATATTTTTCCCTCTATACCCTGTAGTTAGAAAGATACTTGTCTACCAAAAAAAAAAACACTGATTAGAGAATGTAATTATTTTCCATATTCAATTAATGGAAGAACTAATCTGATCCCAAGCTGAACTAACTACTCTCAGTACTAAATGGAAGTGATATAATTCCACAAAGCAAAAAGATTTATAACTTTATTTGGCATGCTTGGGCAGCAGTGAAGCCAAAAGTTTGCAGATGAGAGCAACTAGGAGAGGCAGAAGCTATGTCCAGAGGACATGAAACTCAGTGGATTGACACTTTTTGCACACAAGTGAAAGTGTGGAAGTCAGCTGAGCTTGTAAATGTATGATGAGGATAAAGAGCAGGCCCAGAGAGTGAGAGAATAGCAACACTACTCAAGTCATTTCTTCTAAGCTGCTACAGCTTCTGTATCCTTAGCTCTCCTCAATCTGTCCACTAGTTGCTGAGTTGTGAGGATCCAGCCAGTTTACTCTCCAACCATCTTGTGAACCACCTTAAAACCTTTCTCCAGTTAAATATGTTGTGAAGCATTTTCTTTCTGCATTTTCTTCATTTAGAAAAATTTCCAACCCTCAAACAATACAGTACAGGTTAAATATGTTGTAAATATGAAATAAAAAAGTCAAGATTTCACGATTTCACCTTCCCCCAATGTCACATTGCTATCACTAAGCTAATCCCTGAGTTAAATGTATGTCCTTCCAGATCCTTTATTGATGCACATATACATAAGTATATAGACATACATAGATGTATAATTCTGTGTCCTCTAATAGTATACTGTCACACTATTTGTATAATATTACTAGATTTTTTTTCAATTCAACAATATATCATATACATCACGTACCTCTTTGTATGTCAGTGTGTTTGGATCTTCATTTTTTAATAGTTGTATAGTAGTCCTATTCCCTCGGTAGAGGTGCCATAATTTATTTAATTATTCTCCCTATGATGGACATAGATTGTTTCCACTTTTTTCCTGTTATATAATGTTGCAACCCTTGTACATGTCTCTATTTTACCTGTGAGACTATTTTTGTCTAGGATTGTAAACTAGAAGAAATGGAAACTTTTGTGTATTTATATACAGTGCCACAGTGATCTGTCTGCACCTGTGCTAATCGCATGTAGTAACTTTATTGTGTATTTTAACATCTGGTAGGAAAAATCCCTTCCCATGATAATCGTTTTCTAAATGTCTCAATTATTTGGAGTCATACTCTCTTCCAAATGAATTTAAAATTGGCTTGTCAAGTTTAATTTTTAAAATCTTATTGG